CTGATATTTGACTATGTCGGTGCATTCATCAATGGTCGTCTCCCATTAGAATAACACCCACCCGCGCACGCTCCAAGTCCCGCTCCCGCTTCACCCCGGGCGACCTCCTAACCACCGCCTCCAACGACATCACGCACGCCCTCCGCCGCACGCACAACCTCCTCGTCAACGAGCTCTCCCGCTCCCAATTCGCATCCGACACCCTCGCCCAGTCCTCCGCCGCACTCCAGTCCCTCGGCTCCTCGTACACTGACCTCGACAGCATGCTCAGCACCACCAAGACGCTGCTCGGCGGCTTGCTCAGGAGCCAGAAGAGCGATACCTGGTACCTTGAGACTACCGTGTATCTGCTTGTGGGCACCATCGCGTGGTTGGTGTTTAGGAGGCTGCTTTGGGGGCCTGCGTGGTGGTTGGTGTGGATGCCGTTGAAGATTACGTATAAGGGTGCTGGCGGCGGGGTGGGGTTGGTCAGGCGGCTTAGCAGTGGTGGTGAGCGGGGGCTGGCAGAGGTGGGTTATGGCGGTGGACAGGGTGAAGGGGTGTTCATGGATGCTGGGGTGCCAATCGCGGCTCCCGCGTGGCCTGCGGAGCCGGCGTTGGGTGAGGTTGAGAGAGAGGGGAATAAGGGCGCGATGGAGCATATTGAAAGGATTGTTACTTCGGTGCCCGGGGAAGGCGCGCAAACGCAGAGCAGCGGCGCGGAGACTACGCATACGGAAGCTGGCTACGCTATACCAGTCGACAATGTGCCAGGTGGCCCAGATGGGGGAGAGCAAGTTGTGGGACAGGAAGGAGGCGAGGGTAAAAGAGGCTCTGGGATAACCCTCCCTGATCCAGAAGATGATAAGGATTTGCCTAGGAATCCTAAGAAGAGGATGCATGAGGAAGACGTCCATGCTCCGGCCAGGGACGAGCTGTAGTATACAGGCGTTGTGTTTGTGCAAGCAATAAAGCAAAAATGAGTACCACATCCTTACGATCTTACGAGAAAGCAGCCTCTCCTCAATAATAGTCTAATCAATCGTTCGTTGTTAGGCGGTTCGTACTGAAATAGGCCAGTTTAATTATCATAATAGTGGCTTTACCCCTGAGTGTCGTAAGTTATCCCTGTCGTCCATAGGTCTCAACGAAGTACCGTGCAATCATGGCAATTGTTCACAGCATTTCCCTCGAATCCTCGCAGATGGTACTTCGCTGCTTGCCTCCTTATTCTAATAACAATGCTACAGCAGTCTCAGACTCTACCTCCGTCTCTACGTCTGGCTGTCGAATTAAAGCAATCTTTGATTACTCTCAGTAATGCATTCTGCCGCTATATTGTTATGGAAAGCAAATTAGTCAGTTAAGAGTGTATGGTCTAGTGGTTAGGACATGACGTTGTGGCCGTCATAACCCGCGTTCGATTCGCGGTACACTCAAATAT